TCTATTTAGAAGGTTGTGTTTGAGAGGGGATTATTTTTCTTTTTCAAATTGGTTTCGGCATAATAATGGTCATCAATTACAGGGTTAACATACAAACTGTTTGATTATCTTGGAGTAACAATAAATATATTACAACTGCCCCCAAGAAAGATTTATTTATAAAAAAACCCTCATTTTTTCATAATTTCCTGTGATTTATAGATTTCTATCATCTTTTGCAGGGAGGTGGATGCAAGAAATTTACAAACTACAGGGGTGCATGTAAGAAATTTACAAACTGCAGTGAGTGGATGTAATTTCTAAAAACCTAGGAGTTCTTTCGTAAATAGACTTTACTTCAGGGAGGTGGTTGTAGTTTATCCATAAATATATTACATTACTAAAATAAACCTCTCAACAGTCCCGACAAATAATTTCTGATATTCCATTTCTTTTTTCTTTTTTCTTTTTTGCTTTTTCCTTTTCATAATATTACAGAAATGAATTTACAAAAGATAATAATGATTAAATTTGTTTTTATTAGATGATGTATGATTTTCTTTACTGGGAATTTTCTGCATGAATTTTGAATAGCTCAATTACGCCATGCAGAAGATAGTTCTGCATCCACATCTTCTTCCCACCAAGTTCCACTCTGCAAATATCAACTTTCCTTTCTTAAATCACATGGAACCAAAATTAAAAAAAAAAAAAAAAAAAGTGATTTCCTGATTAAAAAAAATGGTTATCGTTAAATATTTAAATTAAATTTAGGGAAAATTACGGACACCCCCTAAGGTAAGCTTAAATTACAAAAAAAAAACCTCATGTTTGAATAATTACAGCCACACCCTCAACTATGAATTGTCTTACGAAAAAAACCCCTCATTCAGTAGGTAAATTTGAAACCGTAAGGATGGATGTGTAAGACAATATATAATTGAGGGGTAGGTTGTAATTATCCAAACATGAGAGTTTTTTCGTAATTTGAGCATACCTCAGGGGTGGTTGTAATTATCCAAACATGAGAGATTTTTTTCGTAATTTGATCTTACTTCAGAGGGGTGGACGTAATTTGCCCATAAACATTAATATAGTATTTTCAATGTCTTATATAAGGGAGAGAAAACCTTATATCCTCGACGAAGGAACTGAAGCGAACTTCCTTCTTCCTCCTGCAATCCGAGAACCCTCAGCAGTTCTTCCTTAGTCTACAACAACATTAAAATTAAATTAAATTAAATTAAATAAAACCAAAGTCGATCCCTAAGATTTTGTAGAAGAATAAAAATATTTGATAAAAAAAAATAGACGGATATTTACTTCCAAGAGAGTGAAACGAGTTGCACTCTCTGCTACGCAGGCGAATGAACCGTCCGATTGCTTCAACATCACTTGCCAAGGCCCTTAATATAGACCACGATAATACGAATAAGCACCATTGAAAGGTGTGTGTATATATACGTATGTATGTATGTATGTATGTATGTATGTATATACTTGCACGTATTAAAATGGGATTAGTTGCTCTAAACCTGGATATTGACGGAATAATGCTCCATCGTAGTTTACGATATATGGTGCCACTGCAACTGTCTTTCAAAGTTAAGAGTACTAATCATTCAAGCTAATTTCCAAATTTCAAAAAAAAAAAAAAAAATGAAAATAATTATAAAAATTAGGGGATGCCTTTGAGTACTCTCTTGTTCGAATGTAGAAAACGGGGACGAACTGAGAAAGAAACCGATAGTGCACATCTTTGCTCGGAAATCCTAAAAGTCCCAAATCAGCACTGCACGTACATTAATGTTGTCAGCGAAAGAGAATCGGAATTTTATTTTCTTTTTTCAAGAAATTCATCAAAGGTTCTTCACACACACACACACACACACACACACACACACACACACACATATATATATATATACACACACATACCGCAGTGTGTCGAGTTCCAAGTTGAAGAGGATAGTTGGGGTGGAAGAAGCAAATTTTTCCTGCATTGTCCAAAAACTTTAATTGAAGGACAGAGTACAAGTCGAGATTAACTTTTAGTAAAACGGAAATCCGAGTTTGCGTAAAGTGTAATTAGAAATTCGATCGAGAGAGAGAGAGAGAGAGAGAGAGTAAAAGCAGGGATATCGTACCACATATTTCTCTATAAGAGAGAGATCTTGCGTGCTACAATTGATGAACATATAAAGTGATGGTGGTTTATCGGATTGCCAACGATCTGCATCGTATTAAGAAGATTAAACACAAGATCCTAACCTTAAAAATGGAAACTATTTCACTCGGGTAAGAATTTAAAGTCTTAAAAAATGGGTAAATTACGGCCATCCTCTGAGGTAATGTCAAATTACGAAAAACCCCCTCATATTTGGGTAATTACAACCACCCCTTCAACTATGATCTTCTTACACGTCCACCCTTGCGGTGACAAATTTAGTGGAATCTTCTATTATGTGGAATATTCTCCAATTTGTACCCGTTTTACCTCATTCAAACTCCACGTTTTCAAAATAAGATGTTCATAAGATATGTTTCTTGGCTTGTTAATATCAGATTGTGGTGCATCAAACTGCATTTTTGCATAAAACGAGTAGAAACTAGAGAACATTCCACATAATTTAGAAGATTATGTTGAATTTGACACCATAAAGGTGGACATGTAAGAACACTCATAGCTGAAGGGTTGGTTGTAATTATCCAAACAGGGTTTTTTTTCTCGTAATTGACCTTACCTTAGGTAGGGGTGGCCGTAATTTCCCCTAAAAAATTATACGAAGCAAAATGGTTGTGCTCGAGTTTATAGAAAGAACCAACCTTCGTTTTCATCTTCAAAGTCGAAATCAAGAGTGTTTCTTATGGATTTGAAGAATGAAGTGAACGCGCCACTCGGTACATCATCCAAAGATGCAATACTTAAACCATCAATCTGAAAAAAATAACGATGCAGAAATAATTCGAAAACGAAGCATCCCAGAGACTTTGATATAAAATATTATTCATTGCAGTTTTATAAGGAATGCCATTCTATTGTATTTATACGCAGATGGACAAAGTCAGAAACGAGCGAGTTTAAGACAACAGTCTAAGATTATTACTTCCATATATGATATAACTATTACTTATAATAGCATTCTAAGCTAATGCAATTTCTCATTATAACTACTCCATATTTATATTATTACCAAGTCAAGAGCCGATCTGAAAAGTTCCGATGCCCTACGCTTCTCTGGCTTATCGGGAAATACCTAAAAAAAAGACAATTACTTATCAAAATATCTCGAAAGACGCAGTCGATAAAAAAGGAAGAAAAACAGAACAACAGACAACATATATTCTTACAATGCACGCTCTCGTTTCTTGCTTCTCTTGTAGCTTTTTAACAACAGTCAGTGCAAGTTGAATGTTGGCATCACTGAAATCGTCGGACGAACCCTTCGCATTTAAAGAAGCATTTCAGTTAATAGACCGACGATTACATTAGACAATAATACACTATGGCAATAAGGTATGGTTACCTTGTAAGAAGAAATGTTGCTCGGCAATGGACTGATTACGCGAATCGGAAAGCGTTGATCGAAAAAAGTAACGGATAAGAGTCAGTAACAGCAAATTAGAAGACAGCTTCAAGAAACCTTAAATTTGATGTCTTGGATCTTGAAAAAAAAAACTGGTAAATTCTTAAGGATAACAAATGAACTAAATTTGATTTCTGAAACAATCATAGTTAATTGCAATTACGAAAATCGAAGAATACCCCCATAAATCCAAATATAATTGCAGGGGGGAGAGAGAGAGAGAGAGAGAGAGAGAGAGAGAGAGAGAGAGAGAGAGAGAGAGAGAGAGAGAGAGAGAGAGAGAGAGAGAGAGAGAGAGAGAGAGAGAGACGCACGGGAACTCGATTTCGAGGCGGGTTTTGCCATCTTGAAGAGCGGAGAAGAGAGAAGTGGCGGCATCGGAGAGGAGAACTTCATATGATTTGGGCTTATAGACGGCGACGCCGAGCTTGGTGTCGGCTCCCGATTGAGACTTGGCGGCGTTTGCAGTGATAACCCTCTTCTTGCCGCAACGGGCTGTTAGTACTGTACAATTTCTGGACGGAGTTGGATGAGGAGGAGGAGCAATTGAAGGTAGCGAGAGAAAGGGGCTCTGCTGGTGAGAATGTTCGGCGGAGTACGAGGTTGTCGGGGATGGGAATTTTGCAGCTGGAGAAATTACGGCCGCCGCGTGAACGGCCATGGCGGCGGTCGGATGGATACTGCGCTGTGTGTGTGTGTGTGTGTGTGGATCAAGAGGGAAGAAAGATAACGGTCCGCGATTGGGTGGTTAAGAAACGGCTTTGTTCTGAATTTTGGTAGAGAGATGAAATGAATGCCTCGAATGGCAAGGGGGAAGAGTTCACACTGTATGGAATTGGAGGAAAAAGTACTGTAGAGGGAAGATAATTTCATTTGGGCTTTCTTGTTTTACTTTAGACCCAAATAACTAGTCATGGACTTATTCATAAGACGATTGTAGAGAAAGGGCCCAATAAACCCCCACTATTTCCCAAATTATAAAAGGGTAAATTTGTAATTGTAGATGATAAAATTTAGGGGTCATCGTGTAAAAATTGGAGCAATTTGCTAAATACCGCTAATATTCTTTCAAATTATGATTGTCGGATTTTTAAAATTTGCTAAAAGATTTATCACTTATGTTTTCCAGTCTCGCAGTTATTACGTCTAACTAACTGCACTTCGTCAGATCCGTCCAACCCCATTGAAATCCGTCAAATCGGCCTCATCCTGTTCCACGCCGCTGCCATCATCGAAACTTTACCACATATGCACACACACATACAAACATAAAAGGTATCTTCATTGAAATGCATGATATGGAAAGATCAACTTGACTTCACTAGTCTTTTTATGCAATGCATCATCTTTGTTTAAAGTAGTAAAAAGACCTTACATAAAAACAAATTCAATTATTTCTGGTTGATTGAACAATCCACCATCATATTTACTGACCTTTTTCTTTTAAATAATAAAAGCTAAAATAAAGAATCACATTATATTTAAATATAGTCCTAGATATTCACTAATCACATTATCTTACATATTCGAAATTTATCAGACGATGATTTTACAAATTTGCGTAATAATATTTCAATAAAAAAAATCACCTACTTTATATAAATATATGTAAGTTATTATATGACGGTCCGTGAGATACTACATATCTGATGAAAAACAGCGAGTGATTTTGCACTATAGTTATGTTTAGATTAATGATGCAGAATCACTCAGTGTATTTCATCGAGTGTGACGACATCTACAAAACTTATATGACTAGTGATTGATTTTTCCAATAATATTCCATCTAACATTTTAAAAATTACAATAATTAATAAAAACAATAAGCATGAGCATTAAATTACAAATTTTCCCATAACCAAAAAAGTAAAATGCATGGGGATTCCAATTAAAGTCCATCTCAGATAAAGTGAAAAAGAATAAAAGAGAAAAAGAATGTAATTGAATAATAGAAAAATAAAGTAAAATAAGTGGACTCTGAGCAAAAAACTCACGCCACCCCCACTAATATGCCACGTGGAAAGTCCGTACGCAACCAATATTAGTAATTTCATTTTTTCAATTATTTTTTTTCGTTTTGGAAAATAAAAAATCTATGATTTTCAAAGAAGTAACATTAATTTAGAAATTGGAATTAAAATACATGTTCCAAACTTGAATATTCTTGAATTAGACCGAGTTCAAAAATCATATTTTTTTTGTAATTCATATAGTATATATATTACAAAATACATAATAATACTAATGTCATAATTATAAAAATTTAAATTTGATCTAATATATATTTCAATTCGAATCCATAAAAAAAAATCAGAAATCGAAACATTCTAATTTGGAATGAAAAATATTGCTCTTGAAGTCAATTTTCAAATACAGACCGACCCACTATAACAAGGGAGCGACTAAAACAAATACTACTTTTTTCTTAGTTCAATACCACCAACATAAAAAGTAAAAAATAAATAGATAATAAATAAGTAATGACATTATTACCCTTAATAAAAAATCAAGACCACACACAAAATTTGTGTGTTATTGATTTTATTAAGGGTATTAATGTCATTATCTTTTTATTTTCCATTTTTTATGTTAATGGTACTAAAATGAGAAAGAAACGTATTTGTTTTAGCCGTCTCAAGCCCAGTTAGAGGGTACAACTAGTCTAACTCTGAGTACAACGTTAACTATACAGCCCATCCAATAAATAATGAACACGTGTCAGTTAATTCCTCGCTACCTTTACCGTTGTACTGTATATAATTGTTTTGCCACCTTTTGTAGTTCATTTGTTCGGCGACTGCAGTCTGCACTATCACTCCGGCTATGGAATTTATCAAATTCTTTTGCCCTAATTCTCCATATGTAAGATATTTCCCCTCTTTCAAATTTCGAGGTTTAATTAATTTTTAATTTAATTCGAAGGGGTTTTTTTTTTTTTTTTTTTTTTTTTTTTTTTTTTTAATGTTGTTTCCATGAAACCAACATTGGGGGTTTAATTAGTTGAGTTTTCTTTGTCGATTTTAAGAATCTTTGTCGGTTTTTGTTTTGCTCTGTGCCTTTCTGCATGAATTTAACGGTCGAATTTTAAAAAAAATCAGAGAAAAAAGACAAGGGAAATTAAAAAAAAAAAAAAAAATTTAAAGTAAAACCCATAAGATTTCTTTGCGAATTTTATGAATCTCATCTTGTTTGTTTGCATTCGAACCCACGATTTCTTGACCCCATAAGATTTTCTTGAGCTTTCTTTGTGCATGGGTTTAACTGCAGAATTTTCTCCAACATAGGGGCAAAAAAGGAAAAAGGAAAAAAAGAGGGGCTTTTCTGTAAAAAAAATTGGTTAATAGTGGTGAAAGTGAACTGTTGAACGTAAATTTTTTACTACTGTATTGTTTTCTTAAGACCCACATTTTTTGGTGTTGTGTGTTTTTTCATTATTTTTATGGTGAATCTTGAATTTATTTTTTTGTTCGTTTCTTGTATCGAACAGGTGTGGAATCGCAATGGAGTTTCGGAGTGTTTCGACAACCTATATCCTTCAACTAGCTAGTACTGTTTCCGGTTTTATATTATTCCGTAAACAAAATAAGTAACAGAGCGAAGTCTTAATTTGTTGCCCCTTAATAAAATATTTACGGTGATCGGTTTTGGAGTCAACATACTCACTGTGGTTGTGGTTTCTGCGCTTTGGATTATCAATAGGCGCCGTAAACAATGGAGGAGGGTACGTATGCCGATTTTATTTTTATCCAGATTTAGTTTAATCCGCAACGAAATCCATGAATATTTATGTTATTTTGATCACGATTAAAATAAAAAAAAAAGTCATATTGTTTATGTTCGTTCTAAGAAATAATGTAAAATTTGAAGTGGCATCGACAAACCAATGTTTTTACCCCGGAACAAGTGTCGTTCTTAGTATTTCAATTAATGAGCTGTGATAAATAAACGAAAATCTTCGTTATGGAAAATGCATATTGAATTATGTTTCACCTTTACGTAATTACTTGCTCTAATTCCTCTGAATTCTCTTCTCTCTCAGTCGCGTCTTTCGGCAAAGATTCTATTCTCCATTATAGCTTCTTTCGGGGCATGCATTGCATTCTTTGACATAATTACGCTTTTGAGGACAAGATTAAATTCCCGAGACGTTCCTTTTCACGAATGGCTGTATACATGCTCGCAATTCTCAGTCTGGGTAAGCGTGAATTTCTTCAAAAAAAAAGGGTCCCGTTTAATTTCATATCGATCTTCTGAGAAAAAACTCAATCTCGACCCCTCAGGTGACCATTCTGGTTTTGTCAAGGTGCGAAACGGGGTTGGATGTTTTATACAGTGGCATCCTTTGTTCTTGGTGGATATTAAAAGTCCTTTTCTTGATACCACGGTTACAAATAGTTTTCTCTTCACATGAGGTGACTTTTTTTTTTTTTTTTTCTGACAGTATGTTTATTTTCGGCTGAGTAAATAATGAATTACTCGGAAATTTTTGGCTGTAACCAATCAAGACCCTTCACGCAGTAAATCTAATATATATGTCTTTTCACATTATCTTTTTTTTTTTTTTTTTTTTTTTTGCAGGTAATAAGGTGGATTATGGAAATCTGTGGGGTTATGACAGAGATCATGTTTGGAATATTAATAAACGTAACCCGAATAAAAGTTGCATCTTATCGAAGCAGGTACTATAACATTAATCAAAAATCGGTATATTTTTTCATGCAATATTGTTTTGTCATCATTTTGGTGTTATTTAAATTCATCGTAAATTAATCAAGTACTGTTGCATAACATTACAGTCCAATGGCGGACCCGCTTCTCCCGTACCAACATGAAGTCGACGAAGCTCCTTCTAGTGACTCTGTAAGTCTATTTATTGTATCTATTTTTTTTTTTTTTCAGATTTTACGTGTAGTTAAAAATTGATACAAAATACGTTATTCTTGAAGGGAATTTTACGTAATATCTGGAATCTGATGACGTTCGAAACAATCGATCCTGTGATGCAAAACGGCGTGAAAAAACAGCTCGACTTTGAAGATTTACTTCAGCTACCCTTAGATATGGACCCTTCGTCTTGCCATAATTTGCTATTACAAAAGTGGGATTCTCAGAAAATCGACAACTTTAGTCATCCTTCGTTGTTTAAGGCGATTTTCTCGGCATATGGATGGCCGTATTTCCGCATAGGTCTGTTAAAGGTAAAAAGCATATTATATTTCATAAGTCTTATCATAAATTCGTATCGGGCTTGAATTACTAGCTTTCTTGCAGGTGCTTAATGACTGCCTCGGTTTTGCAGGACCGCTACTTCTCAATAAACTTATTCGTTTTCTTCAGAAAGGTTTACATTCTTTAATCACTGGAATATATATATATATATATATATATATATATATATATATATATATATATATATATATATATATATATATATATATATATATATATATATATATATATATATATATATATATATATATATATATATATATATATATATATATATATATATATATATATATATATATATATATATATATATATATATATATATATATATATATATCAGATATTTCGACTAACTAACTGTACGGCAAGACGGGTTCATTGTTATTGCTTTTAATGAATTTCGACAATGATTTGTGCTAACTCACTTTTATCGAGCTGTCGTATTTTCGTATAGGAAAAAATGCTATTTTAGAGGAAGTGCCGAAAAATGTTGACATATTTTATTTCCGTCGAACAGGTTCCACAGATGTCGATGGTTATGTTCTTGCAATATCCTTGGGTTTGGTCTCGGTTCTAAAGTAAACTTTTTACTCTTTATAATTTGTGCTCGTTTTATATTCTTTACGAACACTTATTTGTCATTCTTTTAGCAAGAAAGAAGCCGATTTTATTTTTGTATGTAAAACCAATGTCTTAATAATATAGACCTGATGTACGGTGCAGATCGTTCCTCGACACACAATATTCGTTCCGTCTCGCACAACTTAGGCTGAAGTTGAGATCTAGTATTATGACCATTATCTACCGAAAGGTAAAACTTTCTTGCCGTAATTTGAACACTTGCACCTCATGCATGCATGCATAATTTCTGTCTCTATCTTTACAATACGTACGAAACTATTTTATACTTACGGCATGCGTATATTTTCTCAGTGTCTTTGCGTTAGCTTAGCGGAGAGATCGAAATTTTCCGAAGGAGAGATTCAAACATTCATGTCAGTCGACGCAGACCGAATTGTAAACCTTTGCAACAGTGCTCATGATATGTGGAGGTCATTTTTTTTCCCGACTTCTTTACTGCATTAGAAATTGACGACGTCCGTTTTTAATTAATCAAAATTATTTTTTTTGTCGCGTAATTGCATCAGTTTGCCTTTTCAAATTGGAGTCGCTCTGTATCTACTGTACAGACAAGTGCAGTTTGCCTTCATATCTGGGGTGGCTATAACTATTTTACTAATACCAGGTATGTTAATATAAGTACATAAGAGGTTTGTCGTTTATCGTAAATTTAAATTAATTACAAAGGTGGAAGTTAATGGTTTTATTTCATAAAATACTAAAAGAACAATATTCTAGAAATATGTAGGGAGTTATTACCAAATTGTAGAAATTTTGTAAACTCTAGAAACCTCTCCATTAACTAACCTTGACCTTAAAAAATATACATAGAATATTCATTGAGCCACTCTTAACCATTAGATTAAAAATAATTCTCAGTATAAATATGAGTAACATTTCACTGGTAAACCTACCATACAGACTTATATAAAGTCATACGTTTGTTACTTAAAGAAAAGGCTTAATTTCATTTTGCACCTTTGAAATGTACCATTTTGCCAACGTTGCACCCTGAAAATAATTTATGCACTTTGCACCCTTAAAATACGTTTAATCTTTCAAATTGCACATCGCCCCTAATTTCTATCGTTGACTTAATTTCTGATAGTCAGCAGTCATTTTTGCTCGAAAATACATTAGCAATTTGCACCATGAAGAAAAAAACAATTGAATACACAAAAAATGACCATGAATGACCCGAGGGTAAGAAAGTAAATGAACTACAGAAAATGATGTGCCCAGAAAATAGATTAGGATGTAAACATGTTTTGAGGGTGCAAGATGCCATAAGTTATTTTTGAGGATGCAAAGTTGAATTAAGCCTAAAGAAAATAACAAGTCCGGGTCCAATGATCCACTTTTATTGATTTTCCGCATAAAAACTATAAAAAAATCAAAGATTCTTTGGTTGTAACAATCAAAGATTCTAGTTGTTTCCGTTCGTCTATGTATCACATCACGGCCTTTAACTATTAAAGTATATATTCGAATAGTAAAAGTTATGAATAATATTTACTCATGTTATTTAATATGGTAAATAAATTAATTAATTTATTAAATGATAAGAGTGTTAAGTCTACTTCTGTTAAATAATTAAATTATTTATTTATTTTTTGCCAAATTTTAGTCATATTTTATTATTTTTAAATGAAGTATTATGTAGGGAAATGGTCTTGGCAAACAAACCCAGCTGCAGGTTTTCTAATTGAATTTCTTTTGTCACAGTTAACAAATGGATCGCAAATCTAATTGCAAATGCAACAAAAAATATGATGGAACAAAAGGATGAGAGGTATACACTTATTCTTTCCACATGTTCACTCTTATAAGTTCGTTCGGGTGATTTTTTGAAATTTTTTGCTCTTGATGTTTTGGTTTACTTATGTATCTTGGTATTGAACTTAAACTAAACCTGTTCTATTATCACATAACAATGAACAATCTAATTATATTTAACAATCTTTTTTGACTTCAAAGTCAGAACTCCGCTCGACATTGGTGCTTAGGTGGCATCGTATTTTTTAACGGATCTATAACTGTTTCTATCTAAATTATATATTTTTAATTTGTTTGTTTCACTATATTGTGAAACATTAGACATATCCTCTGCATATTTCAGCTTAAGAAGATTCCAAAAACTAAAATAAATATGAAACAGTATACAACTTGGAGCACGAGATACGATGAATGCTACTCGGTGAATATACTATTTATACTGTGTTGAATTCAAAAAAAAAAAAAAAAATCTAATATGTACGCAATTTTCCAGGATTAGAAAGACAGCAGAACTACTAACATATATCCGTACTTTAAAAATGTACGGATGGGAGCTTATTTTCTCCAGCTGGTTGATGAAGACAAGGTCCTCCGAAGTCAAATATTTATCGGTAAGAATAAATTAATTAACTTTATTTAATATATTAAGTCCGATCCATATCCTTTGCTTAAATAAATCACCTCTCGTTTTTGTCAGACTCGGAAATATTTGGATGCATGGTGTGTTTTCTTTTGGGCAACTACACCTACACTATTTTCTTTGTCCACTTTCGGACTCTATTCGTTAACGGGCCACCACCTTGATGCTGCAACGGTACGTGTTATCATATTTTCAGTCGTTTCTAATTTTTTTTAGAGAAGAAAATGTTATTGTAATAATATTAAAATGTTTGTTTCAGGTTTTCACTTGCCTAGCTTTATTTAATAATTTGATCTCTCCTCTAAACTCGTTCCCATGGGTCATCAATGGTTTGATAGATGTAAGTTTTTTTTTTATTATTTATTTATTTATTAGCTATGAAGTAAAAATTCGTTTTTTAACATCGAAATGTATGAATTAGTTTATTATTTCGACAGGCAGCTATATCTAGTAGACGATTGAACAAGTATCTCTCTTGTTATGAGAGTGATATGGGAAACGGCAATAATTCGTCTACGATTTTCTACGATGAGAATTGTGATTTTAAAGAAACCGATGTTTTTATCCGTGATGCAAGTTGTACTTGGTCGAGCTACGACGAGAAGGAATTCGATCTTGTTTTGGAACACGTAAATCTTTGTGTTCCAAAAGGTTCCATGATTGTTATAATCGGAGAGGTATAAATATTCCTTCTTTATAACTCGTGTTTATAGGCTAAATTTGTTCATATTTGCATATCCCATAATAAATTGAGAATATTGACACTTTATAATTTATATATAATGGATTATAGGTTGGATCGGGTAAATCATCTCTTCTAAACATGGTCCTAGGCGAAACAAGGCTCGTCGGTGGATCCGTGTGCATGACCGGAACCAAAGCATATGTACCACAGGTCGATTATCTTTTTTTGTTTTTTTTTATAATTTCAGAAATATTTTTTAAATTCCGAAGTGTCATTTAGGTACCCTGGATAATGTCGGGAACTATTCGGATA